CAGGGTACAATTTGGACTGCTGGACAGTTGCAAAATCACCCCCAGCTGTATTACATGAATGCTCTGGTCAGCAACTCATGAATTACATACAGGGCAACACCATTTGCAGACCTTTCCCCCAGAAATGTAGACTCCTAGAATATCAGTGTTGGAAGGGACCTCAGGAGGTCATCTAGTCCAACCCCCTGCTCAAAGCAGGACCAATCCCCAGGCAGATTTTTACCCCCGTTCCCTAACTGGCCCCATCAAGGATTGAACTCACCCCCCTGGGTTTAGCAGGCCACTGTTCAAACCACTCAGCTATCCCTTTCCCCACAAAAGTTGTCTCCTCCGAGTCTGTACATCTTGTACAGCCCAGCACCCACTGATGATACAAGCTCATATAAAGGCCGTCATTTCATCAAGGGACAATGATATGCACAGACCCTGCTATCTCAAGTGGATGTTCCCAAACACTTCAATCCAAACAACACCGGTTTAGATAAAACAAGTTTATTAACTGCAGAAAGCTTATGCTCCAATACATCTGTTAGTCTATAAGGTGCTACAGGTCTCTTTGTTGCTTTTTACAGAAAGAGAGAGATTTTCAGTGATTACAAGTAATGAGGCATAGAAGTCAGAATTGGTTTTCAAAGGAAAAAAAGATAAAACACCAGCTTATACCTAACAAGCAAAGTGAGCTTAAAAATCAAAGATTTTTCTCAGTATAAACTTAAAGCGGTCTCAATTGGCTGAAAAGCCTCCTAGCCGGGAGCCCTGCCCCAGTTCAAAGATGTTTCCTGTGTCTTTCAAGCTTTGTAGCTGTCCTGAGTAGAGATGGGGGGGAGAGAAGTGATTTGTGTTGTGTGTCCCCTTCATTCGTATACCCTTCTCCCTGTTTGGAGGATTACCTTTAACTGGGGTTCAGGCAACAGGCAGTCTGTTTACACAGAAGCTCCCAATTGTCCTATTGTCAATATGTAAAGTTCTCACTTACACCCTTCTTCCTGCCACAGAATGGCCATTTAACTAGGTGATTGTCCAATTGATCATGCTGATACATGGCTGGGGTGCCAGTGTGTCTGTCTCTGAAGAACTGGTTTGGGCCTGCCTTTCTAACTCTGGAACATATCACAGCAATGTTACACAGTAGAATGTTATAACTTTACATACAATGTTGCCACACATTTTACTCTGACAATAATGTTCAGCAGATTATGAGTTTTTGAATGCTACTTCACAAGGCATACTTTGTACAGAATTTATCATAGTCTTGTTAAAAGGGTGAATGTGGGGTACAGTCTGTCTCAGTGACACTGGGATTTCTCTTCTCCCTGGCATGGATTCTGGTTATCAAGAAAGGAGCGAGTGATTGAGGTGGTGAGGGCAAGTGAGTGGGTTTGGCTGCGGGGGCTGGTGAAGTGGAGTGGGGTGATGGCGTGGGAGAAGGGGAGATGATTAGGTGGAGAAGGGAGGGGAGTGGGTGGGACTAATAGGGGAGAGTGGGGGGCTGATCTTTCTGAAACTGAACCTCCCCCCTCAGGTGGAGAGGCAGGGGCTGGACAGGACCATCAGCCTGGACTCGGTGGATGGCGTGCCAGTTGCGGCCGTGGAGCAAGGGGGCGAGCTGACGGTGGCCGAGCAGTTGGGCGCCAACCTGCAGGCGTACCGGGCATTCCAGGCACTGCTGGGCGAGGTCCTGGAAGAGCAGAGGTCTCACCTGACCCCGCTGGACACGGACTTCCACGCCTCCATCCAGGCCGTCCTGCTGCAGGTGGCGGCCCTGGCCTACCAGCTGGAGGAGCTGCTGGCATTGCTGGGCCACAGCAGGCCCGCCTGGGAGGCAGCCGGCCCCGAGGCCCCGGGCCGTCACAGCTTGTTCGAGATGAAGCTGCGGGGGCTGAAGGTGCTGCAGGAGCTGGCTCACTGGACTGTGCGGTCCGTGCGAGACCTGCGCCAGGTTGCCATGCACAGCCAGGGCTCTGGCACTGCCCATGGGGGCCAGGCCCAGAAGGAATGAGGCCGCCTGCCACTGGGACAGATGGGGCCTCCCCATCCCCCCTCCCTTCAGCAAGCCAGGAGCTGGGGTGGGGGAGGGTGCTCTCCCACCCAAGGGTCGGGTCTAGGCTCTGGGGTGGCTCAGCAGAGGGCAGGGGGGTTGAGGGAAGGTGGGGGAAGGGTACCTGTGTGGCGAGAGGGGGACAGGAGGCGGCTCCCGACTCCCAATTCTCGGCTTAGAAGCTGATGGCCCCACTTGTTTGCTGTGGGGAGGGAGCTGTGAAGCGGCTGGAGCCCAGAGTAGCTCCTGAGGGGTGGGGGCAGGGGCTGCCCTGGTGGGAAAAGGAGGCAGGGCAGCTGCAGGGATCCCCCACATGTCCCAGCCCGGGTCCCCCTCTTCTCTCTCCCACTGAGCTGCCGCCCTCTGCCCCACGGCTGATCCCTAGCACTGGGGAGGTGGGCATGAGCAGACAGGAGTGAGTGGAATGAAATCTCTGTGGGGTGGGGGTGGGGGAGAGGGGACAGTCTTCCAAGGCAGTCAGAGGGAATGGGGGTGAGGGGTTGTCTGAGACAGAGGGAGGAGGATAGATGACTGGGGAGGAACCCGGAGCTGCTGCGGGGAGTCGTCCTACCCACCTCCCACATGGTTTGAGGCCAGCTGAGGCCATCACCGAGTTCCCACCTAGCACCACATGTCTCCTGCCCTGAGATTACAGTAGCTCTATTTGATGGTCTTGCTACTGGGGGCTGAGCTCTTAAGGGAAGAAGGCCAGACAAGCGCCTTCATCTCACTGCCCCCCCACCCTGACCATGGAAGTTGGAGTCTCCTCTCCCGCCCCTCCTCCTAGCCTTGGCTGCATTTAACCGGTGTGTTGGCGCTTGGAGAGCTAACCAGGAAGTAACGGCTCCTGCTTAAGAAGGGAGACGGGGGCCCAAGACCGGTGGCACTCCTGAGCTGGGGGCCATGTGCCGCTGCACCAGATACTCCATGAAACCCACTAGGGCCTGCACTATTGCTGTTGGTTTGACATGATGCCCAGATGCTATGGTGATGGGCAGCAGGATAAAACCCATGAAAGTCAAGTAAGCAGCTGACCCTATCTGCCTGATGCAGGGCAGGTGGTCGAAGATGCTGCAGGACCTGGCTTGCTGAAGCGTGAGACCTGTCTGGCTAGGACCTTAAGCCCTTTCCAGACCCTGATCCCCATTTTCCAAGTGGGGAAACTGAGGCATGGAATTGGGCAAGGTCACACAAGAAGCTTGCATCAGCCACAGGAGGGGAGCTGAGATCTGTCCACCTGTCCTGCCCCTTAACCATGTGACCCACAAGACTGGACTGATTGATCTACCTGCTTTGGGGCCACACACACCCTCCTTCATCTGCTCTGGAGACAGGGCAAAAGCAGCCTCCCAATGTATAGAGAAGGCTTGAAAAAGTGTGTTCTGTTTCGTTTGCCCCGCTTTTCCTGACTGCCGCCTTGAACGGATGGAGAACAGGGGTAGGATCTGGCATGAGAGATCCATATTAAGCACAAAAAGAAGTGACTTTTATTCAGACGGGGGGGGGGGGGTCTTTTTAAGAATGCATTTAACTCAAGCACTTTGCAAACAGGTAGGAGAGAAGAGCTCTGTTAAAAATAAATTCAATGAGGGCTGAGAGCTGGAAATCCAAACCTGCGCCTTCCTTCCAGCTATCCTGCCCAACCAGGCACACAACTTTGATCCTGATATTTGGAAGGTAAAACACAAGCAGAAATATAAACTTTGCGTTGTTTCTTTATATGGAAAAACAGCCCTTTCAGCCCTTTAAATCTATGTCTCTAACATAGAGTTTTCTCTAGTTTTCATCCCTTACAAAGTGCTAC